CCTTATTCATCTTCCCTGTTCTCATCATCTAGATAAATGGTGACTGGGGTAGACCTTGTAAATGTTCTCCATTGTTCCCTGAAAAATTGCACAAGCTTATAATACCCCAAACGGCAGTCTTGTACATTGGTATAAACCCTTACGGGTATTCACTGTAGCATACTTCTGCCAATCCTCATCCAACCACAATTGCAAGTACTCATGACTCATGTCCAGCTTCGTGAAGGACAGCACCCCTGCCAGCTTTGCGTATAAATCCTCTATATGAGGAATTGAGTATTCATTCAGCTGCGAAGAATGGTTTACTGTTTGTTTAAAATCCCCACAAAGACAAACCAAACCATCGGGCTTTACAATCGGTATGACCAGTGCTGCCCATTCCACAAACTGGACTGGTATGATGATTCCTTTGTTTTTAACCTGATTTCTGCCTCTACTTTTGCCAGTAAGACAAATGGAACTTGGCAGGCTTTGCAGAATCACGGAATTGCTTCCTTGTCAACACACAAGGTGGCCTTGGTAGACCTTCCTAAAAAACTTCCAGGTATTTAATTAGGACTTCACTCAGGCACTCATTTTCTAATTGAAAAACATTGAGCCAATTGAGGTGAATCTTTCGCGACAATTTTGTCCCATCAAGTTTGGGCCTGAGCCTTTTACGACAATCAGTGGTAACTGAACCAGCAGCTTCTCCTAAGAGACCGGAACCGAAATTGTACCCTTAATCTGTAAAGATTCCCTGGAATAGGTTCTCAGTCTAGCCAAGGTCTCGTGCAAACTTAAGGGTTAGAGTCCAAACCGAATTTTGGTAAACACTGGTTTTGTGATCATTGAAACAGCTGCGCTAGTATCAAACCGCATTAGAACTGGGTTACCATTTAACCAGACATTCATATTGATTGGTTCTGATTTGGATGCTACTATGCAATTTAACTGTTCCAAACCAGATGTAGGTGAACTTTCCAGGGTGTGCATTATCCTGGATACCAGCCTTAGAGTTCTCTGACTCAGTTTAGATCTAGTGGGCTTCTTGTGCTGTCTTGAGTCTACATATCAGTAAGTGCAATGACTTACCAGCCCGAATCCTGAAGAAAATTTTAACCATTTGACTAAGGCTTGACTTTGTTTTGGGTTTTGCTGACTTAGAATCCAACTGTTTAGGACATGTCCTGAGTGCTGCTATGCAATTGCATTCACTCAAGAGGTGCTCCCCAAGTTCAGTCGGACTGGCAAGGGTGTCCACTTTCATTGGAATACCCTGCAATTCATATGCTCCACTTGCCGCATTTTCCATGATAAAGCCAGTTGTGGTGCTTGTTCGAAGTCCAGATGGGCTTCAGATACTAGGCACTTTTCCATGGTTGCATCATTAACCCCACATATCATACAGTCTCTCAGCATCACATTAACGGTTAAACCAAAGTCACATGCCTCTGCCTGTCATCTTAACCTAATCAAAAATCCGAATCCGGATTCCGCTGGTTCTCGAATTGCCAAGTAAAAACAACAGCAGCTCCAAGAGGAGGCTTGGGGTCATAATATTCCTTGACTAAATCCATCAACTCTTGAAAGGTTTTAGTATCTGGTGGCTCAAGGAAAGTAAGGCTCCCAATAACCGAAAAAGCTGCGGGTCCATAAGCTGTCAGGAGAATTACTCGTTGCTTTTCATCTGCCCCAATGTCATTTGCCCAGAAAATATAACACATTCTCTCCACATATTGGTCCCAGTCTTCGACAGCTGAATTGAACTAGTCCAAATAAACGATGCCAGAAATGCTCACCCAACTCAAAATCGACTGTTGCAATGGAATTTCTTCAGGAACATGGGTTTGTTTCATTACCACTGAAATAACTCCACGAGGCTGGTATCCCATCACTAAGTCACCCTTCATTTACATGCGGAGAGTCCATAACATTCATTCAGCTCGCTCAGAGCCAGCTCTCGGAGTGAACAGGATGTCTGACAGTCCTGTTCTTATCTGTCAGCCAGGTCTCCCTGACTGGACCAGATTAACAGCCCTAATCAGGGAACTCATATTGTATGACTTGTTACATTCACTACAGTATCGAGGGACATTTAGCACATTCTATCCTTTGTTTTCAGATGTTTGGCTAATAGGGGTGTTTTATTTTTCTCCTATTTTTAAAAACATCACTTCTGGTTGGCTTTTTGGATTGTGTAAGTATCCCTGTGTTTGAATTTAAGGGATATAATTTAGGGAAAAAAATTACAGTAATCACATTTCTTTAATAATATGAGTTATTTTGAGTTTGTTAAAGAAGCCATGTGAAAGTCTCTTTTATTCTGGACAGCAGTACCAAAGAAAAATAATTGGCCATTTTGTAGATTCAATCAAAAAATTATACTAATGATGCAACTCATGGAATAGTGAGGCTTGATCTTCAGTGCATTCCTCCTATAACAATCAGTAACAACAAAAAATAAAATGCAATGTAACACTGATCAAAGGGAGTAAGAGACAAGAATAAAATACTCATTTCAAGTCCGGTTTTATGCTGCAATTTCCAAACCAAATTTTTCCTGTGGCATGCTGTTATCTCTGACAGATGAATCTTACTCGTTACAATGCACACCTGACTTCTGAAAATTAACTCTATAAAACACTCAGAGAATCAACTGTGTTACGGCGCCTGATGAAGTGAATTTGTCTAGCATTCTTATAAATCCGTAAATGCTTAAACACTAATTCCCATGTATACCATAACTTCTTTTCAGTGATATCAATCCTATACACTCATGGATTAAGCCACTTTATGAACTAAGTAACCAAAATTAATAATTACATAATTTCCTAGTACCAAAATCAGTTGCAATACTCTGACCAGGTGCCACAATATCTCCAAAATAGCACAGTTTTCCAACAGTAGAAGAGTTGAATTGTGTTATTAGCAGGAGAAGTAAATCATGACAGCATTTGCATGCTGTTGTAACAAAAAACAGACGTAGTGCCAGGAGAAAGATTTGTTTTTGTTAAGATATACTAATTTATTATAATGCAGCATTGAAGTCTCCATAACATCAAACGTTGCACAGCACACACACCACTGATTACCTGGCATTTCAAACATCACCCATTTATATTAAATGTTTTCAAACACATTAAAATGTATTGCAATGCATTAGGTGTAGTGCATACATTAATATACAAAAACACATAATCACATACTTCTAATGGAACACAAATATAAAAGGTATAATACTATTGTAAAACAAAGAACTGCAGATGCTGGGGAGCTGAAACAAACAGAAACAGAAATTACTGGAAAAACTCAGAAGGTCTAGCAGCATCTGTGAAGGGTCACTGAACTTAAAACATGAACTCTGTTTTCTCTTCATAGATGCTGCCGGACCTGCTTAGTTCTTTCAGAAATTACTGTTTTTGTTTGAATAACAAACAATATATAGCCTTTCCGAAGGTAAGTCTTCAGTTTAAAGCATGTGAAACCAAGAGACATTTTATTCGGGGTGCAGTGTCCCTGCAATGTATCGATGAGGCAAATATCTTTTAATCTCTGGACAATGGCATGCTGCAATGGCTGGCTCAGCAGACACAAAATATATACTCGGATACCTTTCATAGTTCACAAATACTCGAGAAAATGTCAATTAAAATATGAAGTGATAGGTAAATATAACCGCTCTCCCATTCCCCTCCCCACCATCCGCCAGAGAGATTTTGCAAACACACTGTGAATATATTACTTGTCACACGTTGTTTTCCTTCCATTCCTTCAAGTTTCTCTTATCTCTATTCTGAAGATATTAATATTGATAGGGTAACAATTACACAAACACAAGTACTCCCACAACTATGAACGTAGACCGAAACACTTCAAATGATCCCGCCAACTGACACCACAATAATAGAAATATTCACACGTATGCTCTTCCGAGAGCAGTCCATGGTGGCAATCAGGAGAAATAGCCTTTAATGTTTTTTCACTGTCTTTAGTCTAGGAATGCTGACCTTAACTTTAGGGCCTCTGCATTCTCCAAATGAGATTTACTATCTCAATTAAGATCGGGAATCAAGTCTGGCAATCCTTGGTTTGTATCCTTTTAGTCTTTGTGCTAGATGTTCATCATTTACATAAATGATTTTCATGACAACATAGGAGGCACAGTTAGTAAGTTTGTGCATGACACCAAAGTTGGTGGTGTAGTGGACAGTGAAGAAAGTTATCTAAGATTAAAAAGAGATCTTGTTCAATTGGGTAAATGGGCTGAGGAGTGGCAGGTGCAGTTTGATTTGGATAAATGTGAGTTATTGCATTTTGGCAAAACAATCAAGGGCAATTATACTAATACATATTAATAGTAGGGTCCTGGGTAGTGGTGTAGAACACAGAGACCTAGGGACATACTTCTTTGAAATTTGATGCTGCCAGACCTGTTGAGCTTTTACAGCAACTTTGTTTTTGGTCCTGATTTACAGCATCCGCAGTTTTTTCGGTTTTTCTTTGACTATGGGAGTTGGGACGTCATGTTGAGGTTGTTTGGGACGTTGGTGAGGCCTTTTCTGGAGTACTGTGTGTAGTTCTGGTCGTCCTGTTATAGGAAAGATATTATTAAGCTGGAGAGGACTCAGAAAAGATTTACCAGGATGTGTCCAGGAATGGAGGGTTTGAGTTATAAAAACAGGCTGGATAGGTGAGACTTCTTTCGCTGGAGTGTAGGAGGTTGAGGGGTGGACTTATGCAGGTTTATAAAATCATGAAGGGTATAGATAAGGTGAATAGCAAATGTCTTTTCCCTAAGGTTGAGGAGGTCATAAGTAGAAGGTGTGTTTTTAAGGTGAGAGGGGAAAGATTCAAAAAGGACATGAGGGATAACTTTTTAACACAGAGAGTGGTTAGTGTATAGAATGAACTGCCAGAAGAAATGATGGATGCAGGTACAGTTACAACTTTTATATGACACTTGGATAAGTACATGAATAGGTAAGGTTTGGAGGGATAAGAGCCAAATGCAGGCAGGTGGGATGAGTTTAGTTTGGGAACATGGTCAACATGGACTAGTTGGATAGAAGGGGCTGTTTCTATGCTGTATGACTATGAATTTATGAATTTTAATCCAAAAGGTCAATTGCACACATTAATCATGTTTTCTTTTTCAGTTATTTGTTTGTGGAATGTGGAGACATATTGGCTGGACCATTCATTTTTGCCCAAACCGAACTGCCTTTGAGAGATTGATGGTGAGCTGCCTTGTTGAATCACTGCAGCCTTTGGGATTTAGGTACAGGCACCGTGTTGTTAGGGAGGGCACTCCAGAATTCTGAGCCAGAAACAGTGAAGGAGTGGTAATATAATTTCAACTCAGGATGGTGTGTGGAGGTGAACTTGCTGGTTGTTGGAGCTGAGTTCCCAGTAATTTACTGCCCTCATCCTTCTCAATGGTGCAAGTTGTGGTTTCAGAAGATGCTGCTATATTAGCCTTGGTGAGCTGCTGCAGTGAATCTTGTAGGTGGTACAAACTTCTGCCATTATCTGTCATAGATGGAGGAAATGAATGTTGGATTGTATCCCATCACATTACTGATTTTTGCCTTGTCAACAGTGGACAGGCTTTAGTGAGTGAGGAGATGAATTTCTTGCCACAAGATTTCTTGCCTCTGACCTGTCCTTGTGGCCACAAAATGTATATGGCTCTTCCAGTTCAGTTTCCACTCAATGGTAGACACAAGAATGTTGGTAGTAGTGAGTTCAATGATTATCGTTGTCCAGATCTTGTAACATACGAACACTTTTTCAGTCTCTCAGGAGTTGTGAATCATCCCCACTTCTAATTTCATGAAAGACAGAAGATAAGGATGAAGCAGTTGAAGATGATTGGACCTAGGACACGACCTTGAGGAACTGTAGGCCCAGATTCATGTTCCACCAGCTCCAGAGGTATAAAATAATATCTCTGAACAGGTTGCTCTCAAAATATCTATTAAGAAACTTATTTAGTGATACCCTGAGATTGAGATGATTTACCCACAATCATTTTCCTTGTGCTATAATTCCAACCAAAGCAGTTTCTTTTTTATTCATTCATGGGATGTAGGCATTGCTGGCTAGGCCAGCATTCATTGCACATCCCTAATTGCCCAGAGGGCAGTTTAAGAGTCAACCACATTATTGTGGATCTGGAATCACATAGGCCAGACGAGGTAAGGATGGCAGTTTCCCTCCCTAAAGGACATTACTGAACCAGATGGGTTTTTCCAACAATCAGCAATGGATTCATGGTCATCATTAGATTCCTAATTCCTGATTTTTAATGAATTCAATTTCTACCATCTGCCGTGGTGGGATTCAAACCCAGGTCCCCAGAACATTACCTGGATCTCTGCATTAACAGTCCAGCAATAATGCCACTCCCCACTGTCCTTAGTTTCATCAGGCTTCTTAACGCCATACTCAGTACCATTCTCAATCCCACTAATGAAGTAAATCTTATGAAATTGATTTAAAATCAAACCTAAAAAATGGTCCTAGACAATTAAGGTGACATTTATTATATTTAAGGGTTTTCTTTGGATCCTTAGTTTTAAAAGAGCCATGACGAATGAACTGGAGTGTACTTATTTATCTGCTCTATTTCCAACTGCTCTTTCTTTCTTTAAGCTCTGCAGTCTGAGGCCATTCCATGCTCCTAGCTACTAGAAAGTGTCCGTGAGCTCTGAAAGTTGAAACTCGCAAAGTGGGTTTGCTTTACCTCCCTTGGAGTGGTCAGCTAAGATCAAGGACTGATGGTTGATAATTAACAACCAGTACTTATTACATCCTCAGCAAACGTTATTCCTATAATCTTTGAAAACAACTAGACTTGTCATTAATAAGAAATTCTTCCTCACACCCTGCATCCTGCAAAGAATACTCAGCCATGTCCAAACAATTTCCCATGTTTCTCCCCTCACCTCTTCCATTCCTTCCCAGAACAGGGATAGGACTCCCATTGTTCTCACTTTCCAATCCTCAAGTCTTCGCCTTCAAAGGATCATCCTCTGTCATTTCCACCTCCTCCAGCAAAATACCATCCCCCAAGACATCTTCCCCTTACCTCTAATGTCAGACTTCTATAGGAACCATTCTCTCAGTGGCAGCTGGGGTCCAATCAACTTTCCAACCCAACCCGCACCCCAGCACAGCACATTCCCATGCAATCGCAGAATCTTGCTTCAAGGGGAGGTCATACCTAACAAATCCGTTAGAATTGTTTGAGGACGTAACGAACAAGTTAGACAAAGAACAAAAGAACATAAGAACTAGGAGCAGGAGTAGGCCATCTGGTCCCTCGAGCCTGCCCCACCATTTAATAAGATCATAGCAGATCTTTTTGAGACTCAGCTCCACTTACCCGCCCACTCACCATAACCCTTAATTCCTTTACTGTTCAAAAATTTATCTAGCCTTGCCTTAAAAACATTCAGCCAGGTAGCTTCAACCGCTTCACTGGGCAGGGAATTCCACAGATTCACAACCCTTTGGGTGAAGAAGTTCCTCCTGACCTCAGTCCTATATCTGCTTCCCTTTATTTTGAGGCGATGCCCTCTAGTCCTAGTTTCACCTGCTAGCGTAAACAACCTCCTTGCCTCCACCTTATCTACCCTTCATAATCTTATATGTTTCTATAAGATCTCCCCTCATTCTTCTGAATTCCAATGAGTACAATCCCAATCTACTCAGTCTCTCCTCATAATCCAACCCTCTCAACTCTGGAATCAACCGAGTGAATCTCCTCTGCACCCCCTCTAGTGCTAGTATATCTCTTCTCAAGTAAGGAGACCAAAACTGCACACAGTACTCCAGGTGCGGCCTCACCAGGATTCGATACAGCTGCAGCATAGCCTCCCTGTTTTTAAACTCCATCCCTCGAGCAATGGCAGACAAAATTCCATTTGCCTTTTTAATTACCTGCTGCACCCGCAATCCTACTTCTGGCGATTCAAGCACAAGGACTCCCAAGTCTCTCTGCACAGCAGCATGCTGCAATTTTTTACCATTTAAAACATAGTCCATTTTGCTGTTATTCCTACCAAAATGGATGACCTCACACTTATCAACATTGTACTCCATCTGCCAGACCTTTGCCCACTCACTTAGACTATCTATATCCCTCTGCAGACTTTCAGGTGTCTTCTGCACACTTTGCTCTACCACTCACCTTAGTGTCATCTGCAAATTTTGACACACCACATTTAGTCCCCAACTCCAAATCATCTATGTAAATTGTAAACAATTGCAGTCGCAACACTGATCCCTGAGGCACACCACTAGCCACTGACCGCCAACGAGAAAAACACCCATTTACCCCTACTCTTTGCTTTCTACTGGTCAACCAATCCTCTATCCATGCCAATACATTACCTGTGATACCGTGGAATTTTATCTTATGTAGCAGCCTTTGGTGTGGCACCTTGTCAAATGCCTTCTGGAAATCCAGATACACCACATCCACAGGTTCCCCATTGTCCACCACGCAAGTAACATCCTCAAAGAATTCCACCAAATTAGTTAAACATGACCTACCTTTCATGAACCCATGCTGCGTGTTTCCAATGGGACAATTTATATCCAGATGTCTTGCTATTTCTTCCTTAATGATAGATTCAAGCATTTTCCCTACTACCGAAGTTAAGCTAACTGGCCTATAGTTACCTGCTTTTTGTCGACTTCCTCTTTTAAACAGTGGCGTCACATTGGCTGTTTTCCAATCTGCGGGAACCACCCCAGCATCCAGTGAATTTTGGTAAATAATTACTAGTGCATTTGCTATTTCTCCCATCACCTCTTTTAGTACCCTGGGATGCATTTCATCAGGGCCAGGGGACTTGTCTACCTTTAGCCCCATTAGCTTGTCCAGCACTGCCTCCTTAGTGATAATGATAGTTTCGAGGTCCTCGCCTGCTATAACCTTCTTGCTATTAGTTTTCGGGATGTTATTTGCATCTTCCACTGTGAAGACCGACACAAAATAACTGTTTAATGTCTCGGCTATTTCCTCATTCCCAGTTATTAAATCGGCCTTCTCATCCTCTAAAGGACCAATGTTTACCTTCGCCACTCTTTTACGATTTACATATTTATAGAAACTTTTGCTGCCTGTTTTTATATTCTGAGCTAGTTTACTCTCATAATCTATCTTACTTTTCTTTATAACTTTTTTTGTGGCCTTCTGTTGGCCTTTAAAGATTTCCCAGTCTATTAGTTACCCACTACTCTTTGCTTTTTTGTATGTGTTTTTTTTCAATCTGATACTTTCCTTTATTTCCTTAGACATCCATGGCTGGCTCTCTCTTTTCCTACAGTTCTTCCTTATCACTAGAATATACTTCTGCTGAGCACTGTGAAAAATCGTTTTGAAAGTCCTCCACTATTCCTCAATTGACCCACCATAAAGTTTTTGCTCCAAGTCTAGCCTAGCTAACTCCTCCCTCATTGCTTCAGGACATAGGTACTGGATTTAATCTACTCACGCTCCATCTGTATTTTAAATTCGATCATACTGTGATCGCTCCTTCTGAGAGGATCCCTAACTGTGAGATCATTAATTATTCCTGTCTCATTACACAGGACTAGATCTAGGATAGCTTGCTCCCTCACAGGTTCCATTACATATTGTTCAAGGAAATTATCGCGGATGCATTCTATGAACCCCTCCTCAAGGCTGCCATGACCGACCTGGTTTGACCAATCGATATGTAGATTAAAATCCCCCATGATAATTGCTGTACCATTTTTACATGCATTAGCTATTTCTATGTTTATTGCCTGCCCCAGCACGATGTCATTATTTGGTGGCCTATAGACCACACCTAACAGTGACTTCTTCCCTCTGCTATTCCTAATTTCCACCCAGATGGATTCAACGTTTTGTTCAGTTGAACCTATATCATCTCTCACTACCACCCTGATATCATCCTTAAAAATCAGAGCAACACCACCTCCCTTACCTTCCTGTCTGTCCTTCCGAACAGTTAACTCCCAGATCCCCTGGATAGTTAACTCCCAGTCATGACCATCCTGTAACCATGTCTCTGTAATGGCCACTAAATCATACCCATTTGCCATGATTTGCACCGTCAACTCATCCACCTTGTTTCGAATGCTCTGAGCATTCAGATAAAGTGCCCTTATGCCAGTTTTTGCACCTTTTTGGGTCCTACTACCTCTACTACTAACAACTCTTGAGTTCTCCTTCCCTTTAACTTTTTTCCTAATTTTCAATGGAGTTGAAGCTTCCTCATCACCTGCTAACCTGCTGCTTTGCCTTACATTAATTGTTATTCTCCCTCTACGCTCACTTCTCCCTTCCCCCCTACTTACTAGTTTAAAGTCCTATTAATCACCTTATTTACCCTTTTCGACAGAACACTGGACCCAGCCCTGTTCAGGTGGAGTCCATCCCAGCGATATGGATCCCTCCTGTCCCAGAACTGATGCCAGTGCCCCATGAAAAGGAAACCCTCTTTCCCACACCACTCTTTTAGCCACGTGTTTACTTCCCAGATCCTCGCCTCCCTATGCCAATTTGCATGTGGCTCGGGCAGCAATCCAGAGATTATGACCCTTGAAGACCTGGTTTTTAATTTTGTTCCTGGCTTTACATAATCCCGAAACAGGTCTTTTTTCCTAGTCCTGCCTATGTTGTTGGTACCTACGTGGACCACAACAACTGGATCCCCCCCCTCCCTCTCCAGTATCCTCTCAAGCTGGTCAGAGATGTCTCACACCCTGGCACCAGGCAGGCAACACACCATGGGGGATTCTCTATCCTGCTCGCAAAGGATACTG